GGTTGATTCAAGGTTTTAAATTACTAGCAAGATGATGAGAACATTAAACTCAGAAAATCATGAGTAAACGGGAGTACGAACCTCCGCAGTTTTTGGAACCTCGTCACAGAATATTTCGCACTTTATGTCGCCCAGATTCGTGTGAAGCGTCACGGACTGCAAAACATTTCACAAAAAACTATGGTAAATCAACGCACTTGAAGAGCTTGATGAGACGCAATAGAGGTCACATACCATTACTCCTGCCTCGGGAGGTAATTAGATTCAGTTGTTCTGCCGTTCCGGTTTTCTTGAGAAAGTTCAAAAACCATAAGAATACTGGCTTTGGGTTCTTGTCATTTAAAATTGAAAATATTGGGAGAAATGGATATATAACCTTTAAGTATTTGCCTTAGATAGGAGTAAATTAATAGGGAAATTCTAAAATAGGAGTACTGTTTAAATAATTACCTAAATAGGAGTATTTTGCTTAGTCACGGTTTTTCATTCCTAAACTACCCCTGGATACGCGCGCCTCATTTAACTGCAAATTAATTCCCCTAGCTGCGCCGTTTTTTGCTTGCCTCTGTTACTTCGTAACTTCTTCAACCTTCATTGCCTCTGATCGTCGTCGTTCGTCAGGTACACCATATGGCGTGATTATCCATTCGTTCTTGTTTTTAGCATCCTCTATTGAATTTGAAGGTCCGTAGTAAGTTGATCATACTTTCTACTAACTTTCAATGCTCTGCTTCAATTATCGATGCATTTGCGTGTGCATGCTTTCTGAATTATTTTCCATAATTTTGTTACTTTAATTTACCTATTTCAGCACACAAAGTCGATATTAATTCGTGTTTCACTCCATCCTTGATTTCATCTATGCTTCTACTTAATCGATGCTTTGTTTATAGTTCTGTAGTATTGCGAAATTGTTTTGCAAAATTTAGGTTGCTGTTCTTTACGTATTTAAGTATATATATTGCTTACGTTGCTTTTCAGTATGTTCTTCATCAATTATCTGCTGTAGTACTCTGGTTTTTATGAACTTGCTTCAACAATATAGTTGTTATTGTTAATTCATTATAGATAATCTCTGCAATTTATGTCCTGTTATTCATATTTCTTTATTTATGTACTGTAATTCAACAAATATTTCATAATTCCATTCTACTCATCATGATTTAGTCTTTGAATTAGTGACAGTTTCACTATTGTTTGACATGGATCCTGTTAGTAATTATTGCCATCCTCTTTTCTGTTAATGCCATCTGTTTTGTTTTATTTTGTAAACTGCCTTTGAATCATTCTCTGTTAAGTACAAGCTTACATTTTTTCCTTTTTATTTTATAGTCTTTCTTTCTGTTTCTGATTTAAATATTTTTTTGTCATGTTTTGCATAACACTTTGTTTTTCTTTGTTTTAGCCAATCATATCTTCAAAATGGATACTGTTTTGCTGCTTATGGTCAAACTGGATGGTATATGGTTGAGTAATTGTACTTTCACTCATAGGGACACGTGTGGTATTCAAATTCGTGCAGATGCGACATATGTTTCTTTCATTCAAAGTATGCGTGAAATCTTAAATCTCTACAAACCAAACCATTCTTTCATAGTTTCTTATGTTGTTGATGGATGTCCCCCGCCAGTTTGTATTCATGATGAACAGACATTCAAATTTTATCTTCATCTTAAAGTTCTTCAAACTGATTTTGAAAAGTTTCCTCTATGCATTCAGTTTGTTTGTAATGAAGTTGTTGAAGTTGAACCTTCCTTACTACTTCACAACTCAGTTCCTCATTCTAGTAATTCAACTGTGTCTTCGTTGTTGTCCGAATCTAGTACTGAATCACATGTTGATGTTTCTGATCATGAGGTTGTTCACAACCTTGAACCACATGATGATGCTTCATCATCTGATTTTTCTGATGTTCCAGAGACCTCAATTGCTATCTCTTCTTCTGTTAGTTCTAAAGTGTCTTCCTCTAAAAGTTTTACCCTTCACCATAATGCTGAGGTTATTACACATCATCATCCTACTTGTCTGATTCCTCTTGCCATCTATAAAGACAAGAAGGCTCTTATCCACCATTTGAAAAAGTATGCAATCAATAACAGTTTTCAATATAGAACCCTTACATCAAAGAAAGATAGCCTTCATGTCATTTGTAAGGATGAAAGATGCAAATGGACAGTGCGCGCAGTTAGATTAACCGCAGTCAATATGTTTCAGATAAGAAGGTATTCACACAAATTACTACATTGATTTATTATATTTGTTCTTTATTGCCATATTTACAGTTCTATTTCCATGATTGTGTGATGGCAATATTCTGTTTCCTGCATACCAGGTTTCGCCCTACACATACTTGTTCGGTCGATTTCAGACAAGGTAACCACAGGCAGGCTACAGCAGATATCATTGCAGATATGGTTGCGTACAAATATCTTGATGCTTCAGCAAAACCATATACTCCCAAACAGTTAAGGAATGACATGGCTTTGGAATTTGGAATTTCAATGTCGTATAAGAAAGCTTGGACAGCACAAAAAATTGCTAAGGAAAAGCAGTTTGGATCAGATGCAGCCTCGTACCAACTTTTACCATCGATGGCCCACATGTTTGAGCAATCAAACCCCGAATCTACAATAAGTCTTACGATAGGTGCTGATGACACGTTCCAGTCATTCTTCTTTTCTTTCGCAGCTTGGACTGATGCGTGGCAGTTTTGTAGACCTGTTCTCATTGTTGATGGCTCATTTATGAAATCTTATTACAAAGGAACATTGCTTACAGCTTGTGCTCAAGATGCAAATAGACACATTGTACCTTTGGCCTTTGGCATATGTGATTCTGAATCTACATCTTCATGGAAGTGGTTCTTTATGAAGTTGCGGGATACTCTTAAGTACCGTCATGATTTATACATCGTTTCAGATCGCCATAAAGGACTGATCAAGGCTGCAGGTGAAATTTTCCCACATGCTATTCATGGGTTTTGTGTGGAACACCTTAGGCGTAATCTGATTCATAAATTTAGAAGTTCTGGTGATGGGATTGGCTGGAAATTTAAGGCTGCGTATATGGCTGCTACTATTCCTGAGTATGAAGAATACCTAGCTATGTTAGATTCTGATAATGTCAAGATTCGTCCGTGGTTAGATAAGATTGGGAGTCATAGATGGGCTAGGTGTATGGCTGGTCCACGAAGATTTGGTGTGCTTACCTCTAATTGTGCAGAGTCGCTGAATAATGTTAATGTCATTGCCAGAGAGTGCTCCATATCTAAGCTCATTGATTTCTTACGTCAACACATGCAAAAGTGGTTCACGGAAAGAAGTGAAAAGGCTTCTAAAAAAAACACCATTTTGTCAAGTAAATGTGAAAAACATTTAGTGTCATTGCAATATGCATCTACACACATGCAGGTATTACTTTTGGTTCCCTAAATGGTTATGCATTACGTTCACTTTTTAAGTGCATTTGTATTCTGGAATAGGAGTTTGTTACTTATTGCCATTCTGTGTTGTTGTTTAATTCCATGCTGCACTGTCTTATGGACATTTTGTGCCATGTCAAATAATGTTTCACCTTTTCTATGTAAGTATACATATTGCTTACGTTGCTTTTCAGTATGTTCTTCATCAATTATCTGCTGTAGTACTCTGGTTTTTATGAACTTGCTTCAACAATATAGTTGTTATTGTTAATTCATTATAGATAATCTCTGCAATTTATGTCCTGTTATTCATATTTCTTTATTTATGGACTGTAATTCAACAAATATTTCATAATTCCATTCTACTCATCATGATTTAGTCTTTGAATTAGTGACAGTTTCACTATTGTTTGACATGGATCCTGTTAGTAATTATTGCCATCCTCTTTTCTGTTAATGCCATCTGTTTTGTTTTATTTTGTAAACACCATTTTGTCAAGTAAACGTGAAAACAATTTGGTGTCATTGCAATATGCATCTACACACATGCAGGTATTACTTTTGGTTCCCTAAATGGTTATGCATTACGTTCACTTTTTAAGTGCATTTGTATTCTGGAATAGGAGTTTGTTACTTATTGCCATTCTGTGTTGTTGTTTAATTCCATGCTGCACTGTCTTATGGACATTTTGTGCCATGTCAAATAATGTTTCAAATTTTCTATTTTATAATGAATTTTGTAACACTTTTACACTTCCCTCCATCTAGGTGAAACCATCTTCATATTTGGAGTTCGAGGTTGTTGATAGGGATTGCCGATCATTTGTTGTTAACCTTTCAAAGAAGACTTGTTCATGTGGTGTCTTTCAGTTGGATCAGTTCATTTGTGTACATGGTGTTGCTTCTCTTCGTATTCGACCAGGCCTCTCTTGTTATGATTTCATTTCTCCTTATTATTCTCGTGACACATGGTTGTCTACATGGAGTGGTACCATGCATCCAATTCCGGATCCAAATTCATGGTCAATTCCACAAAGTGTTCTTAGCATTGCATGCAAGCCTCCAAATTGCTTGAAGAGACCTCCTGGCCGTCCAAAGAAATGTAGAATTCCTTCTATTGGAGAGTTTCGTGGATCAAAACGTCGAAGGTGTTCTCGTTGTCATGCCGTTGGACACAACAAAAAAACATGTGGCAATCCAATTCCTCGTGAAAACATTGATACTGTTTAATAGAGTAGGGAGTGTCATTATTGTCTTTGTTGGCAAACATTGGAAATGCTTCTTTTATACGTTCTTAAGTAATATGATGTAATAAAACATTATATGTCTTTGTTGGAAAACATTGTCTTTGTTACAAATGTTTGTGTATACCAAGCTTCAGATCTCTGTTCAATGATTATTTTATTTTGTTTGTATATTTTTTTCAATAATGTCACTATTATTTAAACTCCCTCAAAATACATGTTCCTGTACTTTATTTTGTGTCAATAATTGACAAGTTCTTCTGTGTACTTGTCAAGTAATGTCATTAATGTAAACATGTACTTGTTATTTAAAGACCAAATATAGTGACAATAATTTCCAAGCAAGGTAAACCAAATGTCACTATATGCCAACGTTTCAGCAATTCTAATCAACATGTCTTATGTTTTACACAAGTAGCTTTGCAAAACAAAAGAAATAAACGTAAAAAAGCAGTACAAGAATGGAAACATTCAAACCCAACTACATGTCTGTTTAATCTCATTCACTCAACACATATTTCATTAAAGACATCCTTGGTCTGCCTTTTGCTCTATTTCTCCTGTATCTTGTTCTGCCTTTTGCTGCTGTATTGAATCAACTCCAAAGTCATTTTCTTTCGAAACATATACATCATTGCAGCATTCAGTTCGTTGAGGTCCATATTCATCATTAGGAACTCTGCAATTTTGAGAAGAAACATTCCACAATTTCCCCTGCAACAAACACCCTTTCTATTAGTTTTTTTCATACAATATTATTTCATGTGGCTAAGTTATTAATTTTTTTCTTACGCTGTGTCCTGTTGTGGGCAATCTTCAGCATTTTCAATAGAAATTTGTCTCACTCCCATTGGTTCTTCTTCCATAGCTTCATAGACAGTGTGGTAATCCAGAACTTTGGGTAGCATATTTTGAATGCAAGTTTTGTATGCGACGATGTCACGTAGGGATTCACCTCTTCTCTTGTTCGAGTTGTAGACTTTCATCTTCCTTGCCTTTACTTCATAGACCAACAACACCCAATGACACCCAGTGTTCAAAGGGATATAGACGAAGTCAGCATCTGCCCAGTGCAGTGAGTAGCTTGTTGAAGTCCCCAGAATGTATTCGCAGATATTCCCCTTCTCTGCTGCGTCTTTCAGTGTTGTCTTTCTGTCTAAAATCATATCATGTTCCCTCTTGAGCAGTTCCATGAAAAAAGGTCCTGTTGTTGTGTATTTCTGCCTCAACTTGTAGTGCACTCGCTTGCGTTCTAGATAATACATCCCCACTTCTATGTGCTGCAAAAAAAAGTTAATAAAGTAAAAAAGATGGTATTAAAGGACATTATTACAACCATATCTTATAATTAACCTGTCTTCTAATGCCATCTTCTTCATTTTATTTCCATTTAAGATGTCTTTGAACATAAAAACACAATATACACATTTACTAGCAGAAAAGCAGTTAATAATAAAATATGATGTTTATTAATTTAAATTGAATAATATACTATACCTTGTGAGACAGCCATTGGTGGTTTACAAACAGATCATGCAACCATGTTTTTGACTCTATCTTCATGGTGTCCAAAATCAAAGGATTACTGGACATTATCTCGTAGTCGGCCTTGTATCTTCTAATCACGTTGTGTTCCTTCTTTGGTTTTTTCATCAGCCCAATCTTCAAGTATTCTGTGAATTTATTCACTTCCTCTTGATCAATAGCGTCTGTTGGGTCTTCTGAGAACGGCCCATACATCTCTTTACATGGTGGTAAGAATTCTTCTTCTGCCACTCTTTTTGCTCTTTCTTTTCTTCTTCTTTTTGCATCAGCACTCTGCCCCGCTGGTGTGTATCTATCTGGAGATTTGGCTCTTCTTTTTGTCCTTTGAGTTTTTGTAGATGTTTTCTTTCAGTTTTAGTCAACAACAAACAAGCTCAAGTCAGTAATCTATTCACTGTACATGACATTAATGTAATAATGTAAAGTTTAGATTGAAATTACTGTCATCACCTGCACTTTGCTTTGAATATCTTCCGTCTCCTTATCTTCTGTCTCCTTATCTTCTGTTTCCTTGTCCTCTTGCAAGGTTCCTTTTCCAAGCATTAGTCTTTCAGTCATTTCGGCATTCATAACCAATTCTCTAATGAATTGTGAGTTTTCCTGACTCCAAATTTCATTGTCTGCTTCCTCAGAAGTTTTCTGATCACTTTGCATTTTTTGTTTTTTGTTTTCATCCTTTTCCTTTCCAGATCCCTCTGCCTGTTCTTTACCGTCTTCAATATTATTTGTGGTCTGCATAAAATTACATAAAAAATGCTTAGCTATCTGATTAAATTTTCATTACAGTGCACATATCATGTAATATTTAGATCACTTCACCCTAATTTTGCATACAATATAATTTTAATATTCCATTGTGCTACACAACGCCACTATTTCCATGTTACTGGCATTAAATCCTTCGTGTTCTGTTGTACACCTATTGCCATATAAGTTACAATTATGGAATTAAAGTACAATAGTTTGTATGTTGTTACCTTTTCTTTCTGTGGCCCACCTTCTGTGTTTCTTTTACTCCCAGTCAAATTAATCATGATTTCTTCTTTTTCACTTAGTTCTTTTCCTTCATCAGTCTGACTTAAGAGATTAAAATTTGGAGCATCGTCCTTCATGTTAGCAATTCCTTGGGTCTCTTCACTTGGTTCTTTTCGTTCATCAGTCTGACTTAAGAGATTAAAATTTGGAGCATCGTTCTCCATGTTAGCAATTCCTTGGGCAATTGTCTCTTCACTTAGATCTTTTCCTTCATGAGTCTGACTTAAGAGATTAAAATTTGGAGCATCGTTCTTCATTTTAGCAATTCTTTGGGCAATTGTTTCATTGTCAACTTCTGTATCATCAGCTTGCTGCTCATCTTTCTGCTTCCCCTACAACAAATATTAATTTCATTTTATATGTGTAAGTCAACATTTTGTATTTAATGACATATAAATTGGAAATAAGTGTCTCATATGGAAAGTACCATTCTTATTTCATTACCTTGTCATTCTCTTGAGAATCTTCTTCAGAGCTTTCATTCTCATTGTCAGGAGTGCTACTTTTCTGATCACTCACATCCTTTATTGCTTCATCCTGTAACAAATATTAACTCCATTTTATATGTGTACTTAACCTTTGGTATTTAATGCCATATAAATAGGAAATAAGTGTCTTTTATGCAAATTACAATTTTTATTTCATCACCTTGTCATTCTCCTGAGAATCTTCTTCAGAGCTTTCATTCTCATTGTCAGGAGTGCTACTTTTCTGATCACTCACATCCTTTATTGCTTCATCCTGTAACAAATATTAACTCCATTTTATATATGTACTTAACCTTTGGTATTTAATGCCATATAAATAGGAAATAAGTGTCTTCTATGCAAATTACAATTTTTATTTCATTACCTTGTCATTCTCCTGAGAATCTTTTTCAGAGCTTTCATTCTCGTTGTCAGGTGTGCTACTTTTCTGATAACTCACATCCTATAACAAATATTAACTTCATTTTCTGTATGCACTTAAACCTTTGGTATTTAATGCCATATAAATAGGAAATAAGTGTGTTCTATGCAAATTACAATTTTTATTTCATTACCTTGTCATTCTCCTGAGAATCTTCTTCAGAGCTTTCATTCTCGTTGTCAGGCGTGCTACTTTTCTGATCACTCACATCCTTCATAGCTTCATCCTACAACAAATACTAACTTCATTTTATATATGTACTCATCCTTTGGTATTTAATGCCATATAAATAGGAAATAAGCTTCTCATATGGAAATTAACATTTTTATTTCATTACCTTGTCATTCTCCTGAGAATCTTCTTCAGAGCTTTCACTCTCATTGCCATCCGTGCTACTGTGCTCATCACTGATATCCTTCATAGCTTCATCTTCCATGTCCTCTCTGTCCTTCATCACTTCCTTCTTTCCTTTTGTCTTTGATATTTCCTTCACAAGACTCAGAATCTTCTTTAGCATTGCATCTTGATTTATTTTCATTTCTTTTATCTCTGCACGCATATTGGCAATTTCTTTGGACTGCTTAACTAGTGTCTTCATGATTATGCCCTTTCCTGCCTTTGACTCATCCCCACTTTCATTGGACCTAGATTCTTCACTATCAACCACCTTACCTTTTTTTCTCAACACTCGCCTACTGCACTCTCCTTTTTCTTTCTGTCCTGCCTTTTTTCTTTTATTGTTTCCTCCTGAATTTGCTCTCTGTATTTCTTTTCCTTTTTTTCCTCTTGCATCCTTTTTGCTCTGCTTTGTGTTCTTTATGGTTGCATCAATTCTCAGGTCCTTTGCTTCATTGCTTTCCCCTCCTACAAGTCCTTGGATTCTTTGGATCTCATCTGCACTTGGAACTATTTTTGTCCACTCAAACTGTAACATTGGCAATTAAACTTAGATAAAAAATATATGACTTATTCACTGTATGGAAATGTAACTATTTACATAAATAATTGTGCATAATTTAATTGAAATTACCTTGTCATTACTGAAAATGAGTTCACAAAATTTTTGTATTGATGGTTTCTTGTGAAAAGCCCACTTCAATGTCCTAGGAATGACATTTTCTTTGTCTTTTATAACATAGCATAGCCTTTCATTAGCCAATATTGGAAAGGTCTCGAAGGCCCAGATTTGTATTGCTTGCATACAAGCTGTGAACGCCACTCTTTTACGTGTGCAGAACTTGAGTGCTTCTGCGTTGTTCTTCATATTTGCGACTAGATCATCCCAGACATCATCACCCCAAGGGTAAGAATTGAATGCATCTAAGTCTTGTACCAAGTTAATATATTTCCCTGGCAAGCGAATCGCGTATTGGTTTCCAAACAATCCATGTGCTAAAGCATAGAGTAGTCCTAGTTTAAGACCATCATTCTCTTCTGTTCCTGGATTGTTTCTGTTGTACCTCTCCAAAGCTTGAACAATATCCTGCCTCACTATTACTTCTTTGGTACCAAAATACCTTCTGCACATATCCCCACCCACGTTATCAGATACTGCCGGTTTCACCCCATTTATCTTCAAACCGGTGACTATTGCCAAATCTGCTTTTGTAAAGCTTATCAGACTATTGGCTACATGGAATCTTATAACATCCTTTTCAACGTTACCATTGAACTCCTCAATATAGTTTGCTACGAAACAAATGTTGAGTTGCCCACTTAATCGTGGCATATGTTCTATATCTAGAATCCAGCCTAAAACTGAACTTCTAAAAAGTGTTATTTCTTCTTCATTCAACTTTTCCTTGATTCGCTTACCAACCTCACTCAAATTGCAAAAGCAATTCACACGCATTTTTTCAAACTTATCCAGCAATCCTCTATAACATGTCCTCGTTATAGTCTGCAGTAAACACTTAATTATATCAATATTTCCATGTACATTTACATTTGATGTACAGTAAAAAAGATGGTATTAGTGCACATGATTTAAAAAAGCTATTATAATTAACATGTCATTAAATGTCATCCTTTTCATGGTATATCCATTTCAGATGATATTCAAGACAATTCAGTTGTATTAAAAAAGAAGCACATATGTATACGTTTTACAGTTTCAATATAATATGACATTTAATAACAAATGTAGGCATTGTAACACATTAACCCAGTACTCTACATACCATCATTTTTATTTTACATATTGACATCACTATTTAAGATATCTTTTAATGACATAATTTTTATCATTATTTCCATTTCAGATGAGATTCACCATAATACTTACTTTGAAATTGTGCTTCACCTTCTATGAATTGAAAGCATCACTATATATATATATGTGTGTGTGTGTGTGTGTGTGTGTGTGTGTATATATATGACAAAAATTCAAATGATCTCATTTGTAAGTCCAAAAATGTCATTCCTAAATACCTAAATCGCACAACCATGGCTATCATCTCTTCTATAACACATTCAATTCAACTAATAAAACTTGATTCAGTACACAAATATTAGGAAAATATGGCACTAGGAACGAAAACCACACACAAACCATTGTTCAAGCACTAGACACACAAAAATGACAATAATATACAATTATTAGCAGAACAATATCATTCCAGACTTCGAATTCAAACAAACATCGACCAGGTCTCGCCTCATTTTTACTTTTTGGCCTGTTGATTCGAAGTCGGAATCCGCCATTTTAGGCTCTTCTCTGGTCGTTTTGCTTCCTCCTACAACTTTAGATGTTGTATTTTACTTTTTTTCTTCCGCTAATGCCTTCTGCGTATCGGAATCCGCCATTGAATGCTTTGGACTCTCTCGATTGATTCAATCAACTGCTTAACGGCTGAGTAATTAATGTAGGCGCGAGTTTTGAAAAGGAGGTGTTGGGCCGTATTAGTTACAGAACCGATCTCATTAAGCTCAGGGATTCAGTAAGGGTATTTATGTCATGACACATGCTATTTAGTCCCCCTAAACTTCTCGTTAAGCAGCACTCCTATTTGTGCATAAATGAAATATTTTAGTCCTATGTAGGTAAAATTGAAAATATTGGCAACGGTTTCTATTTTATGAAACATATAGCATTTTTATATGGGATTTGCATCTAGTAGATCCTCGAATAAAAGATACGGAGGCAATGATGCTAAAATAACATCTCTATTTTAATTTTATGTAGTAGTCTTAGTGTCTTACTAGATGTTCATGGGACATATAAATGATAAAAAAAATTGAAAGTAAGTCAAGAAAAGGCTATCTATACTTAATTAACTAGTATAGTACTCGTGCGATGCACGGGATATTAAAATTTGAGGTTGTAATATTTTTTTATAAATAAAAAAGGATTCAATTTTTTAAATTGAATGAACTATAGTGGACATTAAAAAATTTAAAATTAAGAAAAAAATGTTTATAAAAATATGTCCTCTTAACTGATCAACTATAATAATAAGTTCTTCGTAGTATCATATGTTAAGTTTTTACACTTAAGAGACTATGAGGTTATGTTATAGATAGTAGTAATTATTAGTCACGTTTCTTTCAAAAATATCATTAAAACCCCACTTTCACATTTCAATTCAAACTTTGTTAACTAAATTTAACAATAAATTATTCTTGAATTTGACCTTCCATTACATAGTTTGACCTTATTTTTTTCTTTTTTATTTGATGTGATGTGAGTAGAGAGCTAATTTTTCAAGCTGGAAGGCGTTTTTCATTTCCTTGTGGGCTTATGGCTGCCCTCCTAATAATAATCTTATAAGAAGACCAAAATCAAGTAATCACCTCAAGGTATCAAATACATTTACTAAATGTTTCTTAGATTGAAATAACAAAGGTCAAGAAGCATACAAAATCGAAATATACACTTTAATTACGACAAACCACTTCACATTTCCCGTCCACTTTAAGTGCCAAGATTATTTTAGATTTATGGATTATGGATTACATTCTAAAAATGAAAGTACTGAAAAACTTATTTTAAAAAATCAGGCCCTTAACAATTAATACATAAAACATACGATAGTACATTACTCTTCTTCCCTTCTCTTTCTTCCTCTATCCTCTGATTACCAGCCACACTACCGATATGCTCATATGCCCTTAGCTTCCTTAATCACCCCCTTCTTCCGCTCACATTCATGGTGAAGACTGAAGAAGTTCATATTAGTCCGGTTATCTTCCATTTTGTTTTCTTATTCAAAATCAAATAGATCCATTTGCAATACTTCCTCCGTTCTCAAATAAATGCAACGGTCAACATTTCACACTTGCCGAGACACAATGTTGACCATTAATATATATAATTTTGTATTAGTAAAAAAAATTTAAAAAAATAGATTTTGAAAATTTACAATGAGGTGAAATTAAAAATATTTTTTTCATAAAAAATATTAATACATTAATAAATAAAATGTAGTCAAAGTAGAACATGTGAATAGTGTAAAATTCAAAGTGTTGCATTTATTTAAGAACGGAGGTAATATATAAGACCAGCACGTTAATCATGACGTGACTCTTCACATATCATATGGTTACTCATTATTTATTATGTAGTGATAAGACAATCATTTTTAAAATAAATAAATTAACATCATGTAACGTATGGATTTAGCTGTTATTTGTGATTGAATTCTTAGCATGCATATCCATTCTCTTGAGAATAAATAATCTTAAAATCTGTTTAGTCACCAAACATATGTAGGGAATACATATATATTGTGAAACCTTACTTTCAAGAATTGTGTGGCTACCAATGTTATTTGTGGTCAAATTTGATAGTCTATTTCATGCAACAAATCAAGTTAAGCACATGAGGGAAAGAAGAATTATACGCAGGAACAAATTTTATTTTGAATTGTTTGTCTACAACAATAATTATCATTAAAAGTAATGATAGAAGTTGCCACTGAAGACTCTCCACATGCATTCCATTTGAAAAATTCCTTTTGTACACGTTTTTGTACCCATCAGTACACGCATGTGTCTGTGAGAGTTTTTTTTTGTCTGTGAAGTGCGGTTCACAGACAAAAGCTGGTTTGTTTTGTCTGTGAAATTTTCCACAGACAAAACAAGCCAACTTATGTCTGTGGACCGCGCTTCACAGACAAAAAAAAACTCTCACAGACACATGCGTGTACTGATGGGTATAAAAATGTGTACACCAAGAATGGTTGTTTTATTTTGGGCCCTTTAGATACAGTACATATTGGAGGTTTTCTGTACAAATATTTTAAAAGAATTTGTTAAAAACTAAAAAAGTAATAACTTAAGTATATACGTAGTAAACAATGATCAAACTACAAGCCTGTTCTAAACAAACAGCAAATAAATAATATGACGCCGAAATTTGAAGCATGCATCAAACAAAATAACTTTTTAACAAAATTGGCAGCGTTCAATGCAATAAAAAATATAGAAATCGCTCAATAGTAGACTAAAAACATACACAAAGTTCAAAAATAGGATTAAGTATATTCTATTCTCTAAAAATATGACTTCTCAAAATAAGTCCTATTTTGAGAATTTTTCTATATTAATAAAGTGGTGGTGCCCAAACCTAATTAATACTCCGTACTAAACAATGATGTTGCTTCCTCCCTGCATCCTCAAACGCGACGACCATGGGGGAAGACCGCCCGACTCTCATCTAGCTTACACACGCCAATTCCTCACACTTAATACGCCAGCGAGTTCATGCAACCACCTTCGGATCCAGAAATTGCAGATAAGTTCGCGGTGCTACTTCATGTTTATATATAGTACACACTACATAATACTCCGTACATGTAAACATATCTTGGTGAACTCAAAAGTCACACTGAGAACAACAAACATAATTTGGTTTGTCTCCCATATTAAGTAGTATTTCTTTCAAGTCATTGAAAACTCTCCTTAATACTTTTGAAACATTTGATTTTCATTCCAATATGTACTTTTGGCCTTTTGGGCTAAAGTTATGATATAAAATGAAACTTTTAATATTAAACACCTACATAACCATCAAAACTAAATGCACATTATCTTACTTCTTATGAAAACGCATGTCTTGTAATTTCAATAGTAACATTTCTTTTGCCTATCCAAACACCCCCCATTTTCCCACCCCACCTTAAACATAACAAATTTATAATGTTCTTGTCATCTCACTGTTTTATGTTATACTTCGTATTTTGTTCTAGTAAGGAATGAATCAATCACCCCAGGGCAGGTCCTGTCGATTTTCGGGCCTATGGGCGAGATATTATCTTGGGCCTATGTTCAAGACAAAAAGTAATCTCTAAATATCGATCAACGAAACAGGACCCACCACTGGATTTGTCTCTTCCCCTAAATCACACTTATGTGGCTCAATTTCAATATTTACGGCTTCTGCACCTATATCACTATTTCCAAGCATGTTACGGTTTCATTCGCAAAAGAATTTAGCGGCGATTCAACTTGAGAAGAATTTTCGGGATTCAATTTCTTAACAAAAACAAAATTTTCCATTGTCCCCTTCTTACTTAAGGTTGCCTTTTCTAATCTTTGCCTTTTTTTCTCTTTTTCCCAACCAAATTCACCCATTTTATTAAACACCTTCACAATAGTAAAACGAAATAAAGGAATTCAATTTCAAAATTGCACAATACCACACAAATATGAATTTGCCAAGACACTAAAAATGCATCATATAAATCATTAATCATAATTCATAAATAAAAAGAACATTTAGTGGATTTATTATTTATAGCTAATAGATTGAGAAAAATTTACTTGCCATTGTCGGATTGTTTGAAGGCTTGACAGAAGAAGGTGTTCTAGTCGCCGGCCACAGTTTGGGCTTCTAACCGCTGACCGCTTTGGTTAATGGCGATTTGCAGGGTTGCGACACTCTCTAATGTCTAGTCCTGTGCAAAATAGTCAAGACCTTATAAAACCTTAGTCCTTTAGTTCCTTAGATAATTGAGTTTAATTGGAACTTGGAAACCACCGTCCAGCAAATTAATTAGGTTAGTGGGATGGGGTGGTTTATGAATTGGGAGTTTGGGAGACACAAAGGTTGTACAAAGAGTTAGAGACAATTAATATTTTGATAATTTTGTAATTAAAAGAATTATAAAGCCAAGAGATGTGAAAAGACTTAACTACTCAAGCAGGCGTGTCGTACACCTTTTAACATCTGTTTTAAACAATTTAAATTTTCAACAAAATTAAACCTTAGGCCTAATTACTTGAGCTTAAATACAAAAAAGAAGTCTACTCATACTATATATAAAGACAAATTTTTGGTCTATTTCCCCCCCTATTTTTAGGGCCTAGGGCGGTCGCCCCTGTTGAATTGAACCCCCTAGGGCCGGCCCTGATTCACCCATGGACGCCCCCAATCGCAAAAATAAAAAAAGAAAATCATCAAAACAATATTACCGTAGCTTGTCCTTTGCCGCCTCCAGGATTGATATACTGATATTATTTATTAGGGATGGACATAACGGTTTGGTTTAACTGAACAGTACCGTACCAAACCGAACTAAACCGAACCGCAACCGGACTGTATGCAATTTGGTTTGAGTTTGGTACTATTTCTTCCAAACCGTATTAAACCGAACCAAACCGAAACCGATAAAAACCGAACAAAACCGAACTGAACTAAAGAAATTCAAAAAAAAAAAACCTTTATATATTATTGAAAATTAACAAATCCAAACCGAACCAAACCAAACTAAACCGAACCAAACCAAACCGAAAAATAGTGGTTTTTGTTTGGTAATAATTCTTCCAACCCGTTCCAAACCGAACTGAAAACCAATATGCCCGGCCCTATTATTTATCATATAGTCTGTCGCATTATAGAATTGTTAAGTTTAGTGTAGAAATCATTTTCCTAGGGGTGGGAAAAAATACCAAACCGACATGATACCGAACCGGACCGATAAACGGGGTTTGAAACGGATCTCAAAATTTTTGTCCCGAACCGGTTCCAAACAATGCCATGACCGGTTCTCATAAAATGAGGACCGGTACCGGACCGAACCGGACCGAAGTGTGGTTTATTAAATTTGTACTACTATAGTTTATCTAAAATATATTAATTACCTCATCCGTCCCAAATTGATTTGCAAAGCCAACTTTTTTTGTCAAAGTTAATGTTGAGTACTTGATAATTAATACAATTTTGAATAATTAAAATTTACATATTTAGAAACCACATTAAAATCCCTCTAAAGTTGCAAAATCCAAATTAAAATATACGAAGTACGGAGTAGTTTTTTGAAAGGCCAAATTAGAATATAATTAAAAAGTGAAATTCCAATTAAGTGAATAAAAAGAAATTGTTTGACCAAAAAAAGATTGACTTTGCAAATCAATTTGGAACGAAGGTAGTATGATATATGAAAATTGATAAATTGTGTGGATTTTTGGAGGATGGTTAAACTTTAATTTTTTCTTAAACACTTGGAAAAAGTGACATTGTTTAGTATTGGTATGACATGGTACCGTCCCGTTTGAAAATGGACCGTACCGAACGGGTTTGGGTCTAAGACCGAACCGTACCGAACCGTTTCAATAGTAACGGTACGGGTACGGGTTCGGCCAAATATTGGACCGGACCGGACCGTGCCCACCCCTACATTTTCCTGTTTCTTGCTCCTCCCCTGCAAATGATTTCAATATTTATCCTCACTTATTCTCAGTCGAAAGATATCATGGCCTACATTTTCCTGTTTCTTGCTCCTCCCCTGCAAATGATTTCAATATTTATCCTAGGGGTGGGCACGGTCCGGTCCAATATTTGGCCGAACCCGTACCCGTACCGTTACTATTGAAACGGTTCGGTACGGTTCGGTCTTAGACCCAAACCCGTTCGGTACGGTTCATTTTCAAACGGTACGGTACCATGCCATACCAATACCAAACAATGCCACTTTTTCAGTTTTTTCAAGTGTTTAAGAAAAATTAAAGTTTACCCATCCTCCAAAAAATCCACACAATTTATCAATTTTCATATATCATACTACCTTCGTTCCAAATTGATTTGCAAAGTCAATCTTTTTTTATCAAACAATTTCTTTTATTCACTTAATTAGAATTTTACTTTTTAATTATATTCTAATTTGGCCTTTCAAAAAAACTATTCCGTACTTCGTATATTTTAAATTGGATTTTGCAACTTTAGAGAGATTTTAATGTGGTTTCTAAATATGTAAATTTTAATTATTTAAAAATTGTATTAATTATGAAGAACTTAACATTAACTTTGACAAAACAATGTTGGCTTTGCAAATCAATTTGGGACGGATGAGGTAATTAATATATTTTAGATAAACTATAGTAGTATAAATTTAATAGACCATACTTCGGTCCGGTTCGGTCCGGTACCGGTTCTCATTTTATGAGAACCGGTCATGGCATTGTTTGGAAACGGTTCGGTCCGGTTCGGGACAAAAAATTTTGAGATCCGTTTCAAACCCCGTTTATCGGTCCGGTACCATACCGGTCCGGTTCGGTATCATGTCGGTTCGGTATTTTTGCCCACCCCTAATTTATCCTCACTTATTCTCAGTCGAAAGATATCATGGCCTACATTAGTCATACGATAGTAATTTAAAATACTACATCCGTCTTAAAAAGGTTCGTCATATTGATTTTTTAGTAAACTTTGGATGATGATTTCCTTTATTATATTTGTATATAGTTTATAAATTTTATACTTTTATAAAAATATTTTTAATGAGGAACATTTTGAAATAACTTTCATATTCAAAATAATGTCATATTAAAAAATATCATTGGTCAAAGTTGGTTGTCGACCAAGAAAAGTCAATTTGGCAAACTTTTTCGGAACGGGGGGAGTACTAAATATGGCTAGTGATCCTTATGATACTGCATGTCCATCTCATTAAACCATAAAAGACTTAATTATTGTATGAGTTATATGACCAGAAATTATACTCACTAAGCCATACCCCCAATCCCCATACTTGTGTAGCTTAATTATAAATTTATTTCTCAAAGCATAAAAAACCAAACACTCAAAGTTGTGGACTTGTGGTTTTCCAGAACATAGTCAAAATATATCCAAAGTGCACATTGTATACATATAGTGGATGATAAAGACAATTGTCAACATATTTACTAAAGAGTAAAGATTAAATATATACTTATATTTAAACAAATTATAGAACAAATATAGATTTATATTACTGAGATAAAGAATATTATTATTAAAAGATATTGTAACATCTGTGATTTGCATTTATACTCTTGCTCGTTACTTTATTTTGCATATTAGGACATTTATATTTAAGTTATCCTTAGTCCTTAATTACGGTGTTTTGTTAAAGAAAAAGAATGAAAAAATGAAAGAAAAAGATGTTATTAGTACGCAGGAAGAGGGGAGTTGATCTAATTTATCTTACCTTTTCATCAATAAACGAATGAACAAACTGTTAATTACAGCCATGCATTTAGATCCGACAAATTCCACTATGATAGACTGATAGTAATTATGATACCCTTAAGAGAATTGGGATCGTATTTATATACGTAGTACTACGTCTTAGATTATATTGGCCTTGAAGTCATTGCAGGCTCTTCAACCAGGCGCCATGGGAAAGCCAAAAAAATACTCTGTAATTATTGTCGTCTGCCCTTGCATTTAGATCCAACAAATTCCACCCTGCGATGTTTTTTCTCTTCTCTACATACAGTTTCCCATGTGATTTACGTAGTATTTTTTTACAGCAATTAAAAGCCCAAATTGCTACAGAGTACTTGGCCAACGAATGCATACTACTCTGTGTTTAATCTTTTAAGAAATAATAATGATAACAAATGTCCGCCAGCACGTTGCTTTACAACGTTTGGCTTTCCGGCTTCCAATGCTTTTCAATTTGGTAATGAGCACACCTATTTCCAAAACACAATTAATGCAGCCCTCACGTAAAAAAAACGAAAAACAAAAAATTAAAATAAAATAAATTGCTACAGTGTTCCCGCCCAAACTCCCCATTTTACTATATAATATAGATATAGATATAGATATAGAATATAGATGTAGTATCCCGCCTAAACTTATGGGCATTTGCGTAACTCCAAGTCTCAGACTCATAGATTCTTTATTCACCTTCTAATATACTACGTATCTCCTACTACTTCGACAATTGAACACCTTCTTCCCTTCAAACTTCTACCCTCTCTTCTTCTCCAGTTTTCTTCCTGGCGCTTCTTTTCCCGTTTCTACATTCATTTAGTATCTCAGTTAGAAATATCTGCTTTATTTGGAGTTACTATATCCTTGGTGAATCTGACTTCAGAACTCCAAGTTAATTACATTCTCTCCAATTCGTTGGTAAGTAATGTGTTGCGGTTTGAATTCTATCTCTTCTACAAACCTACTATGAATATTCATACATATCTTGAACATTCCATTTATTTTATTTTAGTATCTTAAAGTTGATTTTATAATTTTCCCTGGGAAGCCCTAAATTTCAAGACTTTGGTATATATAAATACACATGAATTGAATACGTTTTCTATGTTGTTAATGATAAAGCAATTTGTATTTGATAGCAAAATGATTTGAGTGTGTTGATTGCAATGAATCTTTTAGGAAAATATTGCTCATTTATTATTATTATTATTCTTGCTCTTTTTCATTAGGTGTTTTGATTGTTTGAAGCAAGATAACACACTGACTGAAGGAAGTGAATTGAAAAAACAGAACTAAGAATCAGAACTAAGCAACGGCAAAAAGAGAAAAAGTGCAAGTTTTTATCGGATTCTTTTATTGTTTTTATGGCCTAAGGTTTATTTACACTCAATTTATTAAACAAACTTCCAGCATTCCTATAAATTTGTATAGTTTGTGTCTAATACAGCCATCGGGAGGCTGCTATTGTGGTGAAAAGTGTAATCACTTTTCACAGTTTGATTCCAATTTATAGGTAATTTGTATTCAGCACTTTCCAAGTCCTATGGGTTTGTTTGGGTGAGCTAGGCTGCTTGATGTCCCCCCCGCTGTACGCATATTTTTTTTGACATATTAGGTTTTGTTTTTTTTTCCGGCTTATATCCTTTAACACAAAAATGTCAAAAAGAGAAATTACTTTTGTGGATCCTTTCAAACCGTTGTCCTTTCCGTTCTTATTTTTAATTTATCTTTGCATTAATCTATTCATTTGAAATCTTCTAATGACCATTTTAATTTGCCTCCAGGTATCTAATTGAAAATTCCCCTCGAAGATTCCTGTTATTTTTTGTTAATTCTGTTATTGTTTTCAATGTTTACCCAAACTATTGTCATATATTGGTTTTTGGTGGTGAAACCATGCTTCTAGACCTTGTGGTTCTTAATCATAACATGTAGAATTGTACTTCATTGCTTTGTGGTTTCATGCCAACATGTGGCTGCAACATAATTGTAAGACCTGGCTTGCCGCTAATTAAGCAAAATTGAAAATTGAACTATAATAATTCTATAGTTTTCTCCGTCTACAATTCTAGATTTTTATGAAAGTTTATATTGAATCTATCAATTCTCCCATGGCTACAAATGCTACCTTAAGTCCTTTTTGCAAAATATTAATATGCAGTTGGACGAGCAGATATGATTGAAATGGTTTAATTTTTTGTTTTATGTTTTGGCTAAGATTTCCAAACATCAAAACGATAAGATCAAAAGAGAATAATGAACTTATTTTTTTCTTTTCTTTAAAACTGGAGTTTTTTCCCCTATACTTGAGAAAAATTGCACCTCTCTAGCTAATATTTCAAATTGAAGTTCTTTCCCCAGTAATTCTCATGTTCATGGGAGAAAATTTAAAAAGACCCCATTGAGTATATGGGAGAGATTTTAGTTTTTGTTCTCCTAGGCTATAAGATTTTCAAACATAATCCACAATTAAGTTTGCCTATTATTGTCATCTAAGTGAATCTTTGGTGAGTCAATCTATTTCAATGTTTGCAGATTTTATATGGTAAATCAGTCTAATGAATATAAGAATTTGTTGACTTCTAACATGAAGCTAACCCGGTAGTGTGGAACCTAACAACAGGAAACGTTTGCTACTCGGCAAAGTGGTTAGAGTAGAAAATGCAGCTTGCATCTACTGGAAAACTCTATTTTTTGTTGTAATCATCAAACTTTTAGTCAATAAATCTTGCATCACTGGATTATCAGAAAAGAAAAAGGAAATAATGCTAAGTTTCTTAAGTCTGAGAAACTTACAGTATCGCCTATTTCAACTCGGAGACGTTCTTCTATAATTTTGGATGCATCTGGATATCTTCTGCTCATCTATCACCCTACCCGGATTTCTCTTTCGACCGCTCTTCTCCCAGTGGGCAGCGGCTCTCTCCGGACTCCAAGTGAAAGTTTTCCGGCTTCAACGATTTCAACATTTGCTAATCTAATACAACTCTCCACCTCATTCTCCCGCCCAAGGATATTATCATCAGTACCTTCTCATCTAGCTTTCAATCTGCATCATCTTCCCATTTCTTGAGCCTACATCCGATCCTTCTTACCGATCACTGCAGTCCGACCCATATATGGTAGAGATGGTTCTCATGGATGAGGAGGTACATCTATTATAATTCCTTTTTGTATTAATTTATGTTACCATGGTCCCTCAATTGGTATAAACTCGGCATTATTCTTTTCAAGGAAATTTCCAAATTTTTTAGTAACATACTGTTTATATGATCTATGGACAGATAATAGTAGATAGGCTGAAAATATGGAAAAAGTTTGACAATTTACCTGTTTGTTCATTTAGATGCCTTTTTTTGCTTATTCATTTAATACCTGTTTGTTTTGTGGTTAATAGAACTTACTCCGTACTCCTTATTCTCTAGATTTTTTAAAACTTTTGTTAACTATAGATTTGCAGCTGATATAGTATGACAAAATGATGAATGTAGTGGAAGGTTCTTCTTATTTTACTTAAGTGGGTTGTGGGATAATCAAACCACACTAACCTATATTCATTTATGAAATAAATGGAGGAACCCTCAATAAAATTTCTCAAACTAATTCTTGATGCAGTTTATGGTGTATTCTTCGTATTTCTTTTTATCTTGATTTTTTTTACACTTTTGTTCAATACATAGATTTTTATATAAAGATTCTGTTTTTCAAAGGTTTCTTTTGAATTCTTTTCTAGATCTCCTAAAGCATTAACTGACTTTTATTTTCTTTTATAAAATGAAAAGGTGCAACTGATAAAAAGGGAGTGAGTTTGAGAATCAATCCATTCATGGAAAAGGAATAATTTCTTTTTGCAATTGGATGACATTTTAGCTTTAGCATGAAGCTCTCTGTATTTCTTCTACTTCAAAACAGTGATAATGGATAAAATTGTAATTAAAAGTGAGGTCTTATTATTTGAGATGTTCGACACTTCCACCTGTACTCTACTTATATGCAAGTTAGTTGAGCATGTGAATTATTTTCTACTTCTATAATACTTCGTATATAATAGCAGGAACTTTAAAATTACAGTTTTAGATTGTTGTGTTATCTTCAAGGACTAAGACTTCAAATACAAAAATGCATTTTTTATTTCAATTCTTATCCGTTTTTTGGCACGGTAAGTATCATAATTTTATTCTATAGTTTGAAATATTTACAGTCCGGGATGATATTTTGTTGTCAAAACTTTAGGTTAGGTACAAACTCCATTCATGTATCCCTGTCCCAAACAATATTGTCATTATCCAAAAATGCTATGCGTTTTAGTATAGAACTCGAATCATCAACCTCTTGGTTTTCTGTCTCCTTTATCTTCTTGAGTATAGTTTTCTATCTCTTCTTTTTTCAGTGTTATCGCCTGTTTTTTAGTTGCTGCTATTCCTTACAGGATTTTTAATACCCGTTTCATTTCATTAAAGTTTTAACTTTCTTTTTCACCTCCTCCTTGCTTATTTCATCTTTTTTCTATTTTTTGACATGGTAAGTATAAAATTAAATAGCGGGAACTTATCTCCTACTTCTAAATAATAGGAGGAACTTTAGACCAAATGCCATATACGGACTTACGGAGTATAAGTCATTTTTACTCAACTTTTCCAGACTTTGTGTGTGGATATTTTTTTGTTTTCTAATCATTAGTTTAACCTTCATAGTAAAGTAATAGCTATATAGACCTTGAAATTTGGCATGTACTTACCAAAAAAACTATACTCAAATAATTTATGAAGTTTTTGTTTTTTGAATTGCAGAAAAACCAGTAGCATTTGTGCCAATATTATTATCAAGTAATCCATATCTAGATCCACATTTCCCTATGGATTTGTACTGGCTATAAAGTTTCACATAAATTCTTAATATGCCAAGGAGGACCGGAGAAGACTTATTTGATAATTCCCTTATTCCATTTGTTAAAATCTGACTATAATATTGATATATTACGGAGTTTTTTTAATATTGCAGATACAATTGGGAAGCTCCACTTAGATACTATCAAACTATCTTTGGAAGCTAATAGCTTGGCCTACATAGCAGAGTTCAACCTGGAAGATTTGGAGTGAGTCTAGATTGAATTAAACTACCATAAGAGTAATATAACAGACTATTAGCAGCTTCTCCATTGTTTTTTTTAATATTGCTCTTGACAATTCAACGTTATCTTTTTAGTAAAAAAGATTTGTAATGTACACTTTGGGGTGAGTATGCACAAGCCTTGAAAGATTATTAGAAGAAGAGTACTTTTATCGAATCGCATGATATGTTTCTCCAATTGTGTAGAGCAAAGATGGACTCGGAAGATTTTTCAAGTCAGTTGATGAATTGCTTACTATTAAATAGGTTTTACCATTTGGTTTTGTTAAATAAATTTTATCCCTTATGTGTTCAGTGATATATTCAATGGTTATACTAATACTACTCACTATTATCACTATATATTCAATGGTTATACTAATACTCCGTACTAATTTCATATTTAACCTACTAGTATCTGTACCCGTGCCGCGCACGGGATAAACGATACTTTGATACGAACTACTTTGTGTGTATCCGTTTGTATTTTTTATAATGAAACACTTTTTGTGATAAGATACTTATAAATGAGGACTTCTAGTGTTTGTGTGTGTCTATGATCACATATTTATATAATTTTTACGTAATTTTAGAAAATTAGATAAATACTCCCTCCGTCCCCCTTATATTGTCCCGTTTTACCTTTTCGGGAAGTCCTACTTTAATTGTCTCATACCATATTTGGTAAAGTTTGTGTGGCTCAAAATCATTCTTACTTTATTCTTACTTTATCAATTAATATCAACCACACAAATCCACTTTTCTTAAAAATCATGCCACCTTCTTCCGTCTCAATATAAAAGGGACGGAGGTAGTAGTTTTTTTGATTTTTTAAAAAAGTTTGGAAGGTGGCCGGAAAGATATTATAATTCATCTTAAAAGCTCCATATGAAATGATACATAAAAAGATTAAAGTAAAAGTGAAAATATACGAAAATATCAATTGAATTGAAATCATTTCAATGGTCCAGATTTTAATAATAATAATAATAATAATAATAATAATAATAATAATAATAATAATAATAATAATAATAATAATAATAATAATAATAATAATAATAATAATAATAATAATAATAATAATAAAAACACAAAAAATACATATCATATCAAATTAAAGCAATCTAAATTACTTTAAAACATTGCTATAATTTTGAGATCAATGGCATAGTACAAAAGTGCATTTACCAAATTATAACACCTATAGTGTTGGTGCTTTAACAATCCTTGTTCACTTTCTTTCAAAATATATTTATAATGATTTATGTGGTTACTCCAAATCTCTACAAATACTACGTACAATTCTATTTTTAGACGGATTAATTATTACGGAGCGCTCCGCCATAATTTTATTTAAGTGTATTTGTTAAACTGATTTTCCTTTAGAAAAGATTAAATAATTTTGAAGGGCCACTTTTCCAACCACATGCCGTGCGGCCGTGCCGTCCTCAGCCCCATCTCACCTTCTACCGAATACGCCGCATCTATTTTCATTTCACCTCTATACTACAATCTTCCAACTTATTTTTTGTTTTATCATATATCGATCTGAATTCCTAGGTTTCTAATTTCATTTCTACATTATTCTACTGGGAATCGGTTTAGAATATCCACATCCTTATTTAAAGATTTGGCTCTACTTCTAAGGACAATCATCTTCACAGTCCTCCTTTCCCGTTCTCGGTAATCCTGGTTTCTTCTATTTTCTTTTTGCTCAACAATCTCATTGAGATATTAAACACAATTTACCTTTAATTTGAAACATTGACTTATAGAGTTAAATGAACTTAGTAGGGGTGGCCCTAGGGGAGATCAAATGCCCTAAGCCCTACACAATGAAAAAAGTCATACCCATGATAAGTTCTTTATAATAAGTGTGAGTAGCCTGATTTTTCAATCCTAAACTAATTATTTATTGGGTGAATATTTTTAGGTTCTTCTGGGTGAATTTTTATACGAAATTTTATGAAAACGTTCTCTATGAAATGTAAATTATGTCCATAATTTTAGTTTAAAGTTCAATCTAGAAGTCAATTGAATAAATTATTTAAAATTGCTGTGTTTTTATGCATATTTTGGTGCAGTGTTTTTCATCAATAATTTGTTTAACTGACTTTCCGATTGAATTTTAAGATGAAGTTTTGTAGATACAATCTAAATTTGATGCCAATCATGCTCACAAAATTTTGTAAAAAGCAATCCACTTGGAAGCAGATTTGTCAGATATGATTGTTTGATTGGTTTATTAACCAATTTAATTCGTACAAAATTGTTTGATTTCTTTATTTTTGATTGTATCTATTAATTGTTGTTGTTTTAATTTGTTGATTTTGTTAGACAATTGTTTTTTACTATAATCAAATTTATAAATTTAATTAATTTCAAGGTGTAATAGAAATGATTGAATCTGGATAGGATAAAGAAAAGAGAGAGGAGATGATTAGAGAAAATGGTACTAAGTAAATAATTGAATGGAAAAGTTTGTATAAGGAAGTCAAATTATGAATGTCCTCCTCAAGATGAGAACTCAGAAAAGAAGAATGATATAACTCAGAATGAAACGACTCAGAGTGATCACATCATTGGTGGGAGAATTTTAGGAGTTGATAATAACCAAGTTAATTCCTTAAAATAGGACTAACACATGAGTAAAGTGCACAAATATGACCACCATTTTTTCTTTCCTAAATAAGAACAACCAATATTATAATATTATTGATTTAGACAGAAGATAGTTTTAATCTGTTTTATAAATGTATTGAAATATTATTTTTATTGTGCATGTTATTAGTTTAGACATAAAATGATTTTACATTTTCTTAAGATTAGGCCCATTTTAACTCGTTGTTCCTAGGCCTTCAATCATAGAGGACCGGCCCTGAAACTCCGTGAATAAATTCATACATGAATAAAATTCATATTCATGATTTTGAATTGTTTTTAAGATTTGTTTTTTTCAATTAGATCGTTATCAATAAATTATCTTTTGAGGTTTCCTGGATAATTTTTTAAGTCCATTTT